GGAGGTGCAGGCAGCAGGGCTTTTTGACGTTTAAAAAAAAAAAAAAAAAAAAAAGGTTTCTCTCTTTCCAGAGACGGATCTATTTCCGCATCAGGAGCAGGGAGCTGGAGCTCTACCTCTCGGTCCCTGACGACGTGGAGGACATGAAGGCGGGGAGGGTGGTGGTCTCCAGCCTGAGCGAGCAGAGCAGCTCCATCTGGTACTACACGGACGGGCTGATCAAAAACCAGGTCAGGGCTCACGCGTGACAGCCAGCGCCGCGGAGGGGACGGGAGAGCCCCTGGCAGGACTCCCCACCCCACAGTGATCTCTGAGGGTTTATTACAGCCTTTCCCAGCATCTGACCTCAGCCTTGTCCCCAAAGATCAGTTGATTCTCTCCTCCCCAAATCCCGTCTGCAGACATGAAGGCATCTCTGCCTTCCCTGAGGAGTTTTTGCCACCCTAATCATCCCCACCTCTCACTGAGGGGTTTTCCTGTTCATCCCACGTCCCACCCCAGAACCAGCTGCATTTACAGGGAAACACCCCCGAGCACCAAGCCTCTGTGCTGGGCGGAGGTGATGGAGAGGAGCGGGCTGACCTGGCCACCGCCGCTCCTTGCAGGTGGCCCCCAACATGAGCCTGCAGGTCATCGGGCCAGCTGGGAAGGGCGCGAAGGCCGTGCTGTGGTCCGAGACCCGGATGCCACGTCAGACCTGGAGCGTCGATTCTCAGGGACGGATCCACAGCCAGATGTTCGAGGACATGATCCTTGATATAAAGGGTGAGGCCTCAGCACTGGCACAGGGGTGCCTGCTTTCCCAGGGACACCCAAAACCAGGGTGTCTGGCCGGGAGATGGGGCACCCACCCCTCCACCAGCATCAGGAGCGCGGTCTGCTCTCCTGAAACCCTCTCCTTGCTCCTCAGGTGGCCGATCCTATGACCGGGACCATGCCATCGTTTGGGACATGACTGAGGAAAGACCCACACAGATCTGGGACATACAGGTGCTATGAGGGGGTGGCGGGTGGCCCTCATGCCCAAAAGTGCCGTGGGGCAGGACGAGAACACTCTGCCAGCGTCCCCGCACCAGGGCAGGAGGTCTCCTACCCCACGCACACCGTATGCCGAACACCCCTCTGCCCCGGCTGCTGGCGTGAAGGATGCCCACCATCCCCTCCATCACGAGGGGGAACCACCCTGCCTCCCTCCTGAGGAGCCCTGTACATGGCTCACGAAGGACCCCACGGACACGACCAGCACGGGACCCTCCGGAGAGCAGCAGAGCCCCAGCTTCCCCCTCCGAACTGTATTTATGTACGTGTGTAAGATACGGCCCCCCTCACCCGGGCCAGCTCAGCCTGGGCGGTTGGTGTCCTCGTCCTTGTCCTTGCGGTCACCACAGCCCGGCAGCCCCGACGCTGGGGAGCTGCCCCCCATCCCAGCACCTTGCATCCCACCAGTGCTGCAGCACAGGGCCCAATCCTGCTCCCAGCATGGGAGCCCAGTGCCCTCTAGTGTCCACGGGCCAAAAGCAGCACCGGGGCTGGAGGGGGGTTTCAAAAAGGGAGGCACGGACCAAGCTGTGTCCCCAGGAGCACCTAGACCCCACCAGCCCCAGCTCAGGGGGGTTCCAGTTGCAGCACCCCAGGGTGAGCTTTGCTTCAGCAGCCGTTCGTGTCCACGCTGCAGAGCGGCATCACAGTTCAGGTCACTTGTATTCGAGGTCCCCAGGATGGAGTTTTCTTCCACTCAGGTGAGGGCAAGAGCTTCGCGGGGCTGTGACTCAGAGCCAGAAGGGACGTGGGGTGAGAAATCCACACACGGAGACATCAAGCGCTTCCATCCTCGTTGTTGGGGAGAGGTGACGGCTGCCGGCAAGGGCCTGGTTTGCTGAGCAGGTTGAACCCAGTTTGGGGAGAGGCTCGGGTAGTGATCGCTTATCAACCCCGCAGCGAAACCGGGCTGTTCCGGCAGCCCAGTGCCTCCCCGGGAGGTTTCCTCAGCAGACTCGGGGGCACCAAGGTCCTTACATCAGGCGTCTCCAGCCGGCCGGGGACCGCTCTTGGCTTTCAACAACAGCCGTGATCAAATGTCCCGTCACAATGCTGAAACGTTGTCCTCAGTTGCCCTGAGACCTGTTTGGGCAGGAGGACACGTAACCACATGACAGGAGAGCAGAGTATGTGGCACGGGGATGCCCAGCTCTGACATTGCTCCTCTGCCAGGCCAGTGGGAAAGCAGATTCTTGCCGGCCTGAGCCCAAACCACTGCCTGCAGGCAGCAGGGACAGGCAGGGTTAACGCCAGGCCTGCAGAGCCTGAGGGCCAAGGGTGAGCACCACAACCCCATCCCCACCTCAGGAAGAAATGCTGGCGGAGACCACCGGAGGATGGGGGTGCGGGCACAGGAGGCGCGCCAGGGACATTGAAACACACAAGTTCAGCGGCAATGAGGGGGGAAAAATCCTCTCACGGGCACCTCCACCCCTCAGCCCCGGCAACACCTCAGAGGAAACACTTCTCCCCCTCACCCGCCTTTATATACCCCCTGCCAGGCTAGGATTGGCTAGTAGCCGGGAGCTTGGCAGCGCCGGATTGGTGGAGAGCACCAGCCCCTGCCGCGGGATTGGCCAGGACTCCCCTGTGGGGCTGAGGGTGGTGTTGAGGGGAGCCGCCCGGCCTGTGGGGGGCGCTGTGGCACCGCAGGGCCCCGGTCCCGGCCCCCGAGGCCCGGACACGGGCGAACGCCCGTGTCCGGGCCTCGGGGCCGGGACCGGGGCCACGAGTGTCTGTGGGGAGCAGGGAAGAACCAAACCGTGCCCTCCCATCCCACCCCCTTCACCCGCAGGGCTCAGGTTTGGCACCAGCCGGCCCCTCCCTGGGTAAAAAGGCCTGCACTGGGGTCCTCCTCCCCGTTACCGCCCCGGCCCCACAGCCGAGACGAAGCCAGAGGCCTCTACACCAGCGCTTTATTTCTCAAGAGTCTCTCAACAGAGTGGCGAGCCGGGGAAAGCATCGGGGTTTCTTTTCGAGGCTGGAGGGTGAAGAGAACAGGGTGGGGAAGGCAGGGATGGCGTCGCGCTGGCTCCGGTGCTGCGAGGGTCCCCAGGGCAGGGGATGCCATCCTGGGGGTCAGCGCAGCCGTAGGAAGAAAGCTACAGCCAGCCCCAGGGCGAAGGAGAGGAGTGGGGTGCTGCAGGGGGGGCTCAGGCTGATGATGGAGTGGCTTGGAGTGGTGTGGGAGGTGGCCGTGACCCCCTCCCCCTTGTTTGCGTGGCTGAAGGGCTGGAAAAGAAAACAAGAGAGAGTCAGGCATCGAGGAGACAGCACAAGGTGAGAAACCGCCCCCCCCGAAGAAACCCCAGTGCCCACGCTGCTCCTTCCCAAGGCGGGCACACAGCCTCCTCTCCCCCACACCACACAGAAATCACCGTTGGCTTTTGGGTTTTCCCAATGCAGGGAGCGAAGCGAGCTCTCCCGCTCATCGCTGCCCCGTTTCGAGCCAGTGGCTTTTAGAAATTGTCACGGGGAGGGGGTGGGGGGTGGGGTGGAAGGAGAAGCCAGGAGGGTCGTCTCTGCCCCTCAGACCACTGTGAGGAAGTGGGCTGGGGCTATGGCAGCCCACAGGTCCTGCGACAGAGGATGTGGGGTGCAGGAACAGAGCTGGAAAACACCCATATGGGAAGAGAGGGGGAAGAGGAGGAGGGGCCCCTGTCCCCCCAGCACCATGGGTTGTCACAAGCAGGGACGTTGCGGACGTGTGAAATGTAACACAGTTGGGATGGTGATTTCAGGGCAGTTTCCTTCCGTCTCTAAAGTTTGGCACCTCCCAAATTCAGGTGTTTGTGTGAATCGTTCCTGCCCTGGCTATGCAAGACTGCTCTCTCTGGGGTTTTGGTTCTTTCCTGGGACTCCTGGTGTAAGCGGCTGTGCCTGTGAACAGGGACCACAGTGACAAGCGTGGCCCTGGGCTGTTGGAAAAGGGGCACCATTTCCCTCCATGAACCAGCCTCACGCTGGTTGACCCGACTCCTCGGGTCCCTCTGGAGCTGGGACAGGACCGGGGATGGGGCCCTAACGCCCAGCTCTGCCCCCTCACAGGCACTCGTGCTATGCGGGGTTTTGGCTGGTTTGCCTGGCCACAGAGAGGGACTCCTGAAATGTAAATACACCCTGTGGAGCCACCAGCAGGTCGCAGCTGCGTGGAGTTCGTGAGCAAAATAAGCACAGACAAAACTGGCCCCGTGACAAACACACTGTAGAAAAACAAAACAACAAAAAAACAATAAATCAAGCAGAGAGCTGCTCCAAATGGCATCATCCTCCTCGAAAGCGCCGGCAAGTTTCTGCCTCCCACACAACGGTCCCCACCCAGGAGAGAGCTGACATCCACCAGTGCCGCACTCAAACCGAGCCCCGGTGGAGCCTCCCAGCAGGGAAAAAAATAACCTCCAGTGGGGAGAGGCAAGAGGAAACCACACAGCTGTGTGCCCACCCAGCACCCCCACAGCCGTGCCCAGCATCCCCAATGTCCCCGTAGCCGTGCTCAGCACCCCCACCCCAGGCACAGGCTGGGGCCAGCACGCAAAGGAGAGGCTGCGAGATGGGGTGGAGAGCTAAGCGGGAAGGTTATGGCTATGAGTGATGCTCTTAAGTAAAAAAAATCCTTTAAAAAAAGCAACATATGGAAGTATTTAGACCCTACAGACCACAGTGCAAAGATCCTGGTAAGACAGCCAGGGTTAAAGTCAAATAAAAAGTAAAATGCTCAGGTTTCTAGCTGAACTTCAGCAGAAATTCTCCATACAGCCCCTTGACTGCTGTCACACCCATGGGGCAGAGCTGGCTGGACCCCCCAGCCTTCGCAGGGCCCCATGCCGTGGGGTTTCTCTTACCATGCAGAGGACGAGCAGGACGAGCAGGAGAAGCCGGTGGGCGTGCTGGAGGGGCTGCATGGTCAGGGCTCGGCTCGCGGCGCACCGGGACACTTCCTCATCTGCTCGCAGCGATTGCGGTTGGGAGGCTTTAAGTGCAGTGGTGGCTCTGTCACACCAATCACATCTTCCTTCCCTGCACCGGCCCCACCACCCCAAAGGGCTGTTTGAACCCAGAGCGATTTGGGGAAGTCACATCAGATGCTGATGCTGTGAGGTAGAAGGTGCAAGACACAGCGTGGGGGATCTCCGGTGGGAACAACACCGTACAGCCCTTTCAGCCTCACTTCTCCATTGTCCAGCCCAAGAGCAGCTCCTGATCCCCCCCCAGTCCCTTGCGTGGCCACACAGCCAGCACTGAGCAGGACGTCTTGGCCAGCATCTCCAGCAAAGGCAGCAAGCCCCTCTCCCTGCCTTTTCCCACACTGCCTGCAGCATGAAACCCCGACACTGAGCTCTGCTTCTCCCCGGGGGCCCCTTGTCCTGTGCCTCACACCCATGAAGGTAGAATAGTAGTTATGGGTTAAAACCCCGCTGTGGTTCACAGGGAGGGTTTGCAAATCACCAGCATTTCAACAAGGGCTCTGTCTTGCACTGTGGAACAAACCTTCCCTGCAACTTGGCGCAGAAGCTGGGTCCAAGCTGTCCGTCTGAATTTAAGTTACATGCCTGGGGCAGTCTGATCCAGGTAATGGATCAGGGAAACGCTTCCTTCCAGCCCCCCAATATCAATCTCCTCACAGCAGATCTCCAAGCTCCCTCACCCACTCAACTGCAGCAGCAGGAAACAAAAGGGATTTGGTTATTTTAAGACAGTTTGAAATAAGTAAAGCTGCTGAAACGCACCGAGCAAATAAACCCGTTGTCTGGGTTGGTGCTGGGGAAGTGCATGACAGCACAGCCAGCCTGTCGCCAGCCTCCGCCCGGAGCTGGAGGCCCCTCTGCAGCAAAGCTTCACCAAATTCAGTTAATTGTTGCACTTCTTGCAAGTGTCAAAACAAAAGCCTCTTGGGGACAGCCAGCATCCCACAAAAGGTGTTAAAAATGGGCCGGTTCTGCTCCTCTCCAACTGGCGAGGCCGAGGTCTCCGGCGGGAGGGCCGGGGGCTGCGCGGGGAAGGATCCCTGGATGGCGGCAAGGGCTGGGTGGAATTCAGAGTATCAGCAAGGCAAAATGAGCGAGGCGGTAGCGCCTGGGTGAGGGAAAGCATTGCCCAAAAACAGAGACAGGAGCAGCAGGTGAGGAAATGGGGAGCTGCTGTAGGGCGTGCGATGCCTCCAGGCCACAGACCGCAGCTACGACCTGAGGCGAAGGGCATGCGGGGAGGGGGTGGCTGGGGAAAGGAAGCATGGCGGCATGCCACGCTCTTGGCTCAGCACCGGGAAAGCTTGGCAGCGCTCTGGAGCGACCAGAGGTGGGAAAAAAAACGCCATTTTGAGGGCAGAGAACAGGCAGGGAGCGGTTCGGCCGGGCCGGTGGCTGCGCAGGACGGAGCAAGCCGGCAAGCCCGGGCCTCCCTCGCTCCTCGGGGGACAAACAGAGCGGGTTTCTCCCGGTTTGTGTCCCCCCCCTCCTAAGGCGGGTTCAGGGAGCAGGGTCACCCCATGTCACCCACGGGGAGCCCGCCGAGGGGCCGGGCAGCGCCGCGCCGAGGCCCGGTGGCACCGGGAGCGCAGCAGGGAACGCCGGCGGATGCCGTCGGGGCTCTCGCAGGGTCCGACCCTCAGCCGAGGAGCCCCTGGCGCCTTCCCGCCATAACCAGGCTGCCCACAGCGCCCCCGGGGGGGTGTGGCAAACGGGCGCGGAGCGGTGCATGCTGGGATGTGTAGTCCTCGGGCTCCACGTGACCAGGGCCGAGGCCCTGCGTCGCCGCGGCAACCGCCTGTAAACAAGATGGCGGTGGGGCCGCGGAGCGTGGGGTGAGTGCTGCGCCGGGGATGGGGGGGAAGCGGGGGGAACAACACCCCCACCCCCTCCGCGCTTTGGGAGCCCACACACACCCTGAGGGTCCCCCCAACACCCCCCACCCGCGCCGGGCCCCCCTTGGGCCCACACAGCCAGCCCCCCCCCCCCGGGCGGTACCCACTTACCCCCGTTATTTTGAGCCCCTTTTTGCCAACGGTCCCTCCAAAAACTCACCGCTACCGGCCGCCTGGGGACCCGCAGGGCAGCACATGATGGTGACAGGCTCAGAAACAACCAGCTTGAATAAAACTCCCTAAATTTATTGCCTGCTGCCTCCTGACCAGCATCAGTCCGCAGCAGGTACCAGGGCTATTTGGTCGGTCACCTCTCGCAGAGTTTTGCATCTTGTGTGTGTTTCCTCGGTTCCAAGCAGAGAAAAGTTGCTCTCTGCAGCTGCAATGGCATCGCAAACGTCGGCTCTTTCACCCTGACGCACCTCACTCACCGTGGTTTCACCCTCTCTGTTCTCGGGCAACTCCCCCAGATTGCAGCTCAAGGATTTTAACTGCTACTCCGAGGCACAGATTTAGTTGTGACTGTACCAACACCCACTCTGCCCAGAAGGCAAAGATGTATGGACTGAGGAAATGGTCTAATAAGAAAAATGTACCATCTGGGCTTTCTTGGACAGCCTTTTCAGTTACATTTTTAAAAATTGCCTGTCAAGCAAATCCTCCCAAAGTTAATGAACCTGTTTTATTTTTACATATTATCCCCTCTTATTTTTAGTAAAAGGGCAGAGAGGTCCAAGTTCATTGCCTCCACTAGTAAGGTTTTTCTTACGATTCTACGTTTTGCAGTAATTGTAGCTCTTTCTCTCCTACATATGTCCAAAATCAGATAAGTAACAAAACATTTCCACATCCTCAGCAAGAGAGCACATTAGAGACTTACCTGTTTTTATGGTTTCATTTTAGGTCACATCTTCCTACTATATCTTAGAGCAAAAACTTCCTTTCCACTCTGGGTGAAGTTTGCTGCTTCGGTTAATCTCAAAGCATTATGCTTTCTGTTAAAATAGCTCAGTATTACCACTTTCTGACTCACTGCACAGCACAGGATGCTCTGTATGAGTATCATGGTCTTTTTCTGCTAGCCTCATTTTGTGTTTACTCTTCCCAGCTGCTGAGATTGTACCTTCCCCCGGGTCCTGGCTCATGACAACTGCCCACATACACTTATGGAAACAAATGGACTGGGCCACTCTGCTCTCTCCTGCCCTCACTTTCCCTCAGCATAACCCCAGTAGTTCTTTATCTGCTTTTGGAGAAGTCATACCCAAATGCTGACCTGTTTTCTTTCTTTCATGCTCTTTGTGCCTCTTCTCAGAAGATGACAGACTGTCTCCTAGGACAAAGAATCCAGTGCAAGGCAGTCTCCACTCCTGCTCAAGGGGAACAACACTGAGAAAGAATATGCAGGGTAAAGTCCCTCAATGATTACAGGATTTGGGGCCATCACAGTTTCTCAGTGACAGTCCAGTGGACTCAATACCCCAGGCCAGGGCTAATTCCTGTGGTCCCCCTCTCGCATACATAGTGTGCTGTCGGTGACACAGCCATCTCCCTACCAGTCAGGAGCCAAGGGATTTCTACCCAGTACCCCAAAAAGGTACCCTTGTCCCACCTGCTGTGGCAGAACAGGAATTCTTGTGTGGGGTTCCCATTTTAGAGAGGTAACCGGTATTTGTGCTTTCAGGTGCAGCTCCCACTGACATGGAACTCATGTCCTCCATGATGCAAAAAATCACTCTGTTGGAACAAAAAATAGAGAAACAAGCACAAGAAATCCAACTGAAGGTAAAAATCCTGCCCCTTACTAAATCTGTTTTGTGCCCTGCCTTGGTGGCACAGTAGCATTATACCTGCTCAGACCTAGTTTGGGCTAAAACAAGTCAATCTGTAGCAGGGTCTGTTAATTACACAAACAAGCCTTTGCAAAGCAACAGAGCAATTGCATCAGTCCTTGGGGTGGGAGAGCAGACAAGTCCCTACTGCAACCTTTTAAAGTAAAGACTCTCAGCACCCTTTCTCTGCTATCATTAGCTATTTGGCTTCAGACCTTTTTTCTTCCTTTTGCTTTCTGAAACAACAGCTGCTTGTACAGCAGAGTCATCCGGCAGCAGACCTCTTTGCATTACTGCAGCTTAGAATAAATACCCTTTTTAGATTTTTTTTAAAAAAGATGTGGCTGCAGAGATGCTGGTTTCATTTCTAGATCAGTCATTTACTGCAGGTGAGAGCATGAGCTGTGCCTGAGCAGGAAGCACGGGGGCAGGAGTCTATGTGTTTGCTTACAGCTCTTGCACAGATAGAGGAGGGGGAGGTAGGTCAGCATGTCCCTCACCTATTCTTAGAGCAGCGTATTTATATCCCACCCCTCATATGAATCTAATTAAGGTATTTGTGAGGGGATACAGCCTTTCTAATCTTTATTTTACCTGTTTCCAAGTGGGGTGAGAGTACATGCACCACTGACTCACCTAGCCAGGACTAACTGTGCCTCAAGGTCCTAAAGGCCAAGGAACTAAACAAGGTCATTATTTGTTCTGGTCCTGAAGGACCGGAGGATTGCTGAACTTGAAGAGAAGATGAAGACCCTTCAGGAAGGAGAAGGTAAAAATTGTTCTACCCTTGACACCTGTGGGAGAGCTACTGAGCTCCTGGTGCTGCAGCAGAGCAGGTTTGGAGCTCTCCTCTCTGAGCCATCCCTGCCTTAAAGCCCAAGAGCCTCTTCGGTGAGTGGTATCAGTTACACACACAGCACCTTTTGCCAAAGCAGATGAGCTCTTTATACTTGCATCTGTTACTGGGCTTTTCTGGTGCAGTGCAAAACATTTATTTCCTGACCTATTTTCTATGGGTTACTAAGTTTCCATAAGCATAGACAGACGGCACAGATACCTGAGTATGGTCAGAAAAAACGAAGGGTAAATACTTCAAACAGGCTGGAAAAAGAGAGCTACTCACAGCTAAGTGAAACCAAAAATCTACTTGGAGTCTCGAACAGTATTACAGGTCGAGGTTCACTTGTCCTGTAAGGCAGCCTAACTAAACTGAACCCAGCTTTGAGTGAGTCACTGAAGGTCCTTCCCCCCATTCAGTTCCTTGGAGTCCAGCAGCTCTCCAGCTGAGCCCAGACACATTTCCTACAATGGCTGAACTACCTTGTTAGCACAAAGCTGTGGTAAATCCTCAATTTCCTGAGCAGAGAACAAGAATATGCCTGTCAAACCACAAACATGTGTTTTGTGCCTCATCATGCATTGTTATAGCCATTCAGCCTAGGTTTCTGGATCCAGCTTTAGTGGACACTTGCTCATTTTTTTAATGGGTCCCTTAAGACTATGCCAAACAATTCTCATTGTATAATTGCGAACAGCACTGCTCACATCAGCTTCCTGCAGCATCAAACTCCACCAGTATCATTCACAACTAACTTTTATCCTGTCAGCATCTTTACCAAAGTGCTGCAGGTTGAATTCTCAGGGACCAGCATGCAGAGCTCACGTTCAGCTCCTGTGTCGTATCGGTTTGAGTTCACTTACGGCACAGGCAGGTACTGCTGAGGCATCTGGGCTGTGTGACACGGCTTACCTGTAACTCTTCTTTAAGGTTCTACATAGAAAAAAACAAGTCTTCCCTTTCAGATGCTCCTGACTCATCCAGAGCAGAGGAACTGGAAATTAGGTGCCTTCAGCTGCAGACACAGGTCTGGGAGATGGAGGTGAGACACCTGCGTCACTTGCCCTAAGCCATCTTCACCTTTGGTTTGAGATCGTTGCAGTCTCAAGCTGCTTGGTCTTTTTTAAGCTGACACTTTGATCATCCCAATTCTTCACCTCTCCCTTCTGAAAAGAAAGAACAGGTTGAATGTGAGCTACGGGGCACTAGGAGTTTTTTTAGTATGAAAACATTTGTGCCTCCTGCAAGCCTCTTCATTTTTATTTTTAGGACTGTAGAAGTATTCACTGCAACTACTACAGTTTTGGGGGATTACTGTGTCACTACGGATACTTCCATTCTCTCTTTTGCCTACTAGTAGAGCTACTATTGCCTAGTGGAGCAGCTACTACTACCATGCCAGTGAGTTTGTCTGTCTGCCCGGGCCAGAGAGCCCCAAGACAAACTTTTTTCTTTCACCTCCCCTTCTGCTTCTCATGGTCACAGCTGAACACGCTCAGGCTTCCATGTCTAGTTTTCTGAAGCTCTGGTTCACAACACTGATTTGTACTTTCCTCTTACAGCGGTTTCTAAATGACTATGGTCTGATTTGGGTTGGAGAGAGCCATGAACAGCCGGAAGATTTAGAATGGCTTGAGGATGAAGAGGAGCTACCAGCAGGGAGCTTCTGGAAACCAGGTAAAGCACCAGCACTCTGCTGAAGCAGCTCTCCCAGCTCCTGCTGCAGGCTTCAGGAAGGTATGATACTCCCCAGAGCAAATAAGCATCAAAGACCTGGAATCTGCATCTTCAGAGTCTGTGATCCTGTGCTGAGGTCTTCACATCAGTCCGTCGCAGGGACAGAGATGTGGATCAATTTAACAGGAGCTAAGCCAGGCAGCACATTGGCATGTTATATATACTTATATTTTATAAGCCCTGCCTAGGGGAAGAGGAGAGAACCCGGCGGCTCGGCCGTTTGGCAGGATACCCTCACAGCAGCTGCTTCCCAAAGAGTTCACATACCCTAAACATTTGAAGCTTGACTGCTCTGGTAACACTGACGTAAAATGGGTGGAAAACGGAATCAGATGCTTTGTGTGTATAGTAGCTGTAGTAACTTAGCCATGTTGTCTGGCTCTATCAGAGAGTATTGTTTGCCTTTCCTCCCAACTACCACGTGAGTGGTTTAATTGAGACCTGATTGTGCTATATGGGTTCCAAGCATATTTGGCAATGGCTTCTTAGGAAGTGGTAACAGAGAAAAAGAGTAATACTTCGGCTGTACAGCCAATGCTGGTTCCTAACCACCATGCAAAGATTAGCTAACTAATCCTTCCCTCCCTTAGATGCAGAAAGGGAGAAGACCGGGGAAGCAGTAGGAATAATTTTCATTGTTTTCAGTTCGCTTTCCCTTTTGAAGGGAAATTGCCCCCACCCTTCTTTATCAAATAATAAAAAAGAACAGAAAATGCTAAGGGCTTTACTTCTGCCCACATCTCTTCTTTCATTTCCTCTTCTGATTTCATTCAGCTGTCCCATCTCAACTCATTTACTGCTTCACCCTGCCACCTTCCTCAAGCACCCAGATAAACATCCTCAGCAGTGTCCCAGCAAGAGTGAGCAATCTGCTGGTGAAGAGGAGCAGGCAGCCAGCTGTGTTTACACTGGCATTTCTTCAGCAAGTCTGCCCTGATCCATTTATCCAGCCTAGTTAATTAAACTAGTTAAGTTCCTCGCTCTGTGCGTTTTACCGCACCACATTAAGGGACAACACAACACTTCTGAAATTACAAAGACAAGGAGCAGAACGTGGTCTCGGAAAAGCTGGCTGCATCTGTAGCTGGCTCTGGGGTTTTATTAGCTTGCAGCAAGAGCTGCTTCCCTGGGGCCCTGCCCCTGTGGTTTTGCACACACCCATGTAGCCTGGCAGCACCGCAGCGGCATTGCACCACACTTTGCAAGAGTGTGAAAGGTGAAGCATGGAGAGGCAGCACAGACAGCCCCGAAATGTTAGGGCTCAAACTCACAGAGAGGTGAAAGCTGCTTAGCCAGCATCCCCTTCCCCCTGTAACTCTGATCCCTCTGCCACAGGTGAGGCGGTGGTTTCCAAACACCAGATTGATTTTGATTTAATCTTGGAAAAGGTGAAGGAATTGAATGTGCTGGCTGGAGAAGGCATTTCTCAAATCGAGCACGTGCCTGGGGGTGCTCGGCTGAGACAGCCAGAACCCCTCCCTCTTACGCTGTATCAAAATGGGATTGTCATGTTCAACGGACCCTTTCGGCCCTACGAGGACCCATCCACACAGGTATGGAAAGGTCTGTAGAGGAATTAGACTTGGAGCCATCCTGCTATCATTCACTAAGGCCCAGGGAAGGGCAGGTGTAGGAATAGGGCTTGTGAGCTCCTCCTAGTCCTAAAAAGGAGCAGCTATTGGGAAGTCCAGTTCCTCACCTGCGTTCCCATGGTGCCCTTAAAGACTACTATGTCTTTGTGTAGTAATTTTTAGAGAGGGAGATTCTGGGTCTTTTATGCAGACTTTTCTGCAGGCAATAACACAAATAGGAGCAGCCCAGAAAGAATACATCAGTCCTGAGATAAATAGAAAGTCTGAGGTATGACTACGAGCTCTCATTTTGTTTCAGCAATGCCTGCAGGATATTATGGATGGTTATTTCCCTTCAGAGCTGCAGATACGCTACCCAGATGGCATCCCTTTGCAGGTGAGCACTGCAAAACCCTTCTCATAGGCTTTTTGGAAGAAGAAATTGCTCTCTTGCTTTCCAAGAAAATTGTTTAGGTTTTGGTGCTCCCCACAGCAAATTAAGTTTGAGGTTTCTAAACACAGCACACATGCAGCTTAATTCTGTGCATGTGTGTCGGGGAGCGGGTGGCTGGGAGCACACCTGCTAGAGCCGTTACAGGAAGTAAATGAACGTTTTGGAACCAGGACTAAATGGTTTCTCTGCCTCGGTGAATCTTGGCTTGGAACAAGACTTCTAAGAGCATAGCAGGCTTTGTAGAAGAGAAGTGGTATGCTCTGAAGAGCTGTGTAACAAAAAGGAGAAAACCAGTTCTCAGATAGGTCCCCTGCAAAGGCTTTTAAAAACAGATCGAACAAGTATCTCTCAAGGAGGAGGTCGGGAAAGTTTATTTTGCAGCAAATGAAATGGATTTGGCCACCTGAGGTTCTTCTGGGCCACACTTTTTGATTTCTCAGAAATGGCAAAAAGCCAAGGCCACGTTTTCAGGCAGAGAGCCTCAGAGGACTCTAGGTCTTCAAGTGCATCCGAAACATTAAGCAGGCACAAGCAGAGGGGTGCACCCACCCCCTGCCACAAAGAAAGCAGGAGACAACTGCACAGGCAAGCGTGCGGTCAGGACAGCCAGAGTGAGCTGGTAGATGTGGTAGTTAGTCAGATGGAAGAGGAAGGATTGTGCAAGGCTCTTGGGGCTGTGGTTCCCTATAATCCATGCATAGCTGGCCACGTCTGGAAGCCACAGGACAGTACAGTAACCTGGGGTAAATACAGACACGGAGCGCATCCAGCTGTGGTACAGACAGCCAGTGTAAGAGGAACAGAAGTGGAACCCAGACAAAGACTGCCCCTATTTATACAGCTCTCCCCACTGCCTGCCTTAGTTTGTTAGAGCCCCTGATGGTCCCCACTGCAGCTTCTTACTGCCAAATCCCTCTCCACCCCCAAACTGCTCCTTTCACAGCACTTTCCACCCGGAGAGCATTTTCAAATGTGGAAGCAGACACAGGGGAAAGGCCAGGTCCAAACACATTTCTTACAACCCATGGAAAGGAGCAGCTGCCAGTGCCTGTGGACATGAACAGCTACGCCGTGGTCTGGGTGGGCCGTCCTGGGGACTTAAGGGATCCACAAGGATTTGCTTTGTAGGAGCTGAAAATGCATCTCACTGAGTTTGGACAGGTGGAGCAGCTCCCAGGGAAGGAGCTCGCTTGGTTTCATTCGGGGCTTACAACTCTTGGTTGTCATTGGTGCGGTTTATTGTGCTCTGATGCAGAGAGAACAAGCTTGTGCAACAGCCAGATTTGCTTATGGCAGCTGGCCTTAATTCAACAGGTCACCGACAGGAGGGATGTGGTATTTCGGGAGAAAGACCTTCCAGAGAGGTTTCCTGGCCACGGCCAAGTGGTTGGCCATTCGAAATCAAGTGAGGTGCAGGAAGCCACCGAGATCCCAGGTAAATTCTTAAACCTGTCTCAAAAATGCAGCTAACTCCCAAAAGAGGAGAATCAAAACCTTACCAGGGCACTCCAGCTGGTAGGAGGGGGATGTGCAGGGCCTCAGTGAGGAAGGCAACACTGCTGGGTCAGAGTTCTGTGCTTGTAGCCCCAGTGTTGCTTCAGGAGCTGGGAGCCAGGCAGCATGCATGGTGTCCTCTCATCGTTAAATCCTCTTAAAGAATGAGGCATGACAAGTAATAAAAGACCAGAAGATCATTACGTTTCTAAAAACATATCTGCCCTGCGCCTTTCTGAAAGGCCAAGCTCCTTCTAGCTTCACCTTTATCAGCATCAAAGGATACTGAGGGAACCTTGCAGATCTGGGGAGGAGGTTTAGCTTACAAACAACCTTTGGTTCTCCTACAAGTTCATTCCATAAAGGCAGACATCTTCAAGCCAGACCAATCTTATCTGTACCAAGGATGGGACAATTCACCCGCAGACTTTCATAAGAGAACATGAGGCATAAGGTCAGGTCACAGATTCATCATTTTGCTTCTAGACTCTAGCAGTCTGTGTAAGCAATACCTGTCAGGGTTGGAAAGTCAAATGCAGTCAGTCAGACAGACAGAAAATAGTGGGTTTGTGCATGCGTAACTAAATAACCTGAACATGTGCATTGCCAATCAGCAACCTCTTCCGAGTTATAGGAAACGGTACTATTTGCTTTTTCATCTCAAGGCCGTTCACCAGCAGAAGCTGTGCTAAACATTTCCTTTATCCAAGTAGTAAAAAAAAATAATTGCCCAGGGCCACCACAGAAAAAGGAACAGGCACCTACAAATACACCCTCACAAGAGGAAAAATTTTCCAAGTCTGTAAAAATTGTCATAGTTTTAGTTTTTCCTGTTTGCAGCAGGCCTAACGAGGTTTCTACCTGTTGTGCATCCCAGCTGTGTGCTGAACAGGCTGCACAGTGGCTCACTGTTGATGTTGACAGTCAAACATTTAGTGGGTCAGAAAGTGGGACAAGCTTCAAGGGGGGAGACGGAGAGCCAGTCTCAGCCTAGCTGGGGGAGCTTAGAGCTCTCCCTGTCGGCTGTTGCGCTCTCTTATTTCACAAAATCAGCCTATTGTGGGGTTAAATTGTTTGTCAAAAAGGTCACACATGGATACATCTCCCCTCTGCACTGGCAGGTCCCAAACTCTCCTTGGAGCAGTTCCTCAACAAGCTTTCCAAGCCATTGAAACAGAGAGGAGTGCTCGGTGTCCGAGGCTCAGCCAGAGCAGCGCAGCAGGTATGAGCAGACCCCCAAACATCCCTCCCCGCGCCCCTCTCGGCTCTGCATAACCTCCTCCTCCTCCCCGAGAGGCTCCGCCAGAGCACACGTGGCACCTTGGCACCCGCTCCTGCCCTTTCCTGGCCCTGGTTGCCAGCGGTGACACCTCGTTTGGTTTCAGGGCGCTGACCAGGTGCGGAACAGCAAAGAGATCCTGGTGGAGACACCTGGGCTGTCTGCCCTGGAGAGGTACAGGCATGGCCCCTCCACCCCTGCCCTATCAGGCTCTCATCTTCCTCCTCCTTCATCACTGAGGGTTTATTTCAGGGCTTTCAGTTGAGGAAGTAAATGGACTTGCCCCTTTTATCTTACACCTTAGAAATAATTAGAAAAAAAAAGCCACATGTGGTGTTTTGGGAAGACCACTGAATTGTTCATGGTGAATTTGCCATCTTTTACATCTCTAACAAAAGCATCTGTTCTTCAAAATATAACTTAATGCTGTTAAATACTTTCCCCAACAGCAAGCCAAGACCCAAGAATTTGAAGCCATCTAAAAAGTTGTTTGTGGTCATGTTAAATGGGAGAATTCCTCCAGGAAACTGATGCCCAAGTGGGAGGTCACACTAACAACGCTTTTCCACTCATAGTCTTCTGGCAAGACAAGACCCAAATAGCTAATGAAAAAAAAAACCCAAGCAGATTATTTTTAATCAAAAAACTAGGGCGAAGTACTTACCAGACAGCCCTGATCTAAAATGAAAAAGCTAAAAAAGGTCAGCAACCCTCTTTCCAAGGCACCCTTAAGCTCTGAAAGCAAAGCAGCAGCTTGGTCTGTGAGTTGGTCTGCTCTCCCGCAGTCAGACGGGGCCTTGCTCATCTCAAGGACATTCCCAAACGCGAAACTTCTCTCCCCGTTTGGATCACCCCAGCAGCCCACAGGCCCTCACTCCTCTGCTGATGAGGTTTTCAAACCCCCAGGGTGAAGACAGCTGAAGAGGCTGAACCCTCTGGCCCTGCAGTCTGCACCCTCCGCATCAGATCCGAGAGCGGGGAGCAGACGTATGTCGTAAAGATGCTGTTCACAGAGTCCATAGGGGACCTGCGCCAGCACCTCGCCCACGCCAGGTAGGCCTTGGACTTCCTCCCCTCCTCGCTCCCCACCCAGCTCCGTAGATCCCCAGGGAAGGTTTCTCACTGTATTTTAACAGCTCAGCCTCAGCTGGGCAGGGCTGAGGGTTACAGCCCCAGGAGCTGCTGCTGCTTTGGCTCCACCACACCACCAGAGATGCTCTCTGGGCAGCACCGAGCGTTTAATAGCACCTTTGCCAAAAGGCTGACACGGCAGCAGAGATAAGCCTCTTTTGTCCTCTCAAAATTGCCATCTGACCCATGTCGGTCGCTGCCTTTGCCTCCTTCCAGCGGCTCAGCAGCGCTCACCTGGCTATTGCCACCGTTCCCAAGGTGCTGGTGCAGCCTGGAAGCTGAGCTGCAGCCTTCAGCTTGGCTGATGGATCACCGCCACCCTTTGCTCAGCCAGCTCCACGTCCCGATGCATTTAATGCTGCCCAAGGGCTCACACGTTCCTTTGGGGGCAGTTCCAGGTGGCTGAGGGGGACCCCCTTTGCTCTCTCCTCTCCCCACTCCTGTTGCGGGCCGTAGCTCTGGCGTCAGTCGGAGCCCATGGTGAGCTCACTGCTGTTGGGATGCAAGAGCCTCCTTCCCCGCTGCGGCTCTGCAGCCTGGAATGGCCGCTCCGCGCCTGGCTGTTTGCAGTTTGGGCGGGAAGCCCTTTTTTTTTTGCTGGGCCTGTGCTTGTGAAACAATCTATCCCTCTGCTCTTACATAACCACAGCTGGATCAGCCAGAGCATCTCAGCAAAACCTTGGGGGATCCTGTGCTTAGGAAAGATTGTGCTGTTATTTCCTAGGGGTGGAGACTCTGACTCGTATGAGATCATCAGCACCTTTCCCCAGAGGGTGTACGCGGACAACTCCAGGAGCCTGCAGGAATGCGGCCTGATCCCCAATGCCTCCCTGCTGCTGCGGAGAAGAGACCCCTCCCCAAGAGGGGACAGGGGCTGCAAACAGCTTAACAGCTCCTAGCCAGAGCTGCTCGCCCCAAGCTCCACAAGAGGAAGGAGCTGCCTTGCAGTTATCTGCGCTATAACCTCCCCTGGCTGGGAAGAGAGGAGAGGGCTGTCTTGCCAGATTTAGTTTCATTGTGCTGTTACCTGGGATGGAGAGAAGAGCTCGGAGGCAGTGGTTTGGCCTCTTGCTTTGGTCGTGAGTGCTGGCCCAGGGCTGCTGCCTCCTGGGTGGGTGCTTTTCCCCCAAGACAGGTGGGCTCCTAACACAGGGGCATTTATGTCAGTTCAAAGCCAAGGGCTGGTCTCTCATCTCTGCTGGAAGTTACACAGGCTGATCCCTGCCCAGGGAAGGCTGCCAGCTTTACACTGGTACCGGGCAGTTGCTTAGCTGGGCTGAGAGATTCTCTACAGCAGCAGGACAGACAAACAGCCAAGGTTAATTTGCTTTCCACACCCAGCTGCTCCCCAGAGATTTCAACTACGCTTACACCACGAGAAACAGGCTCGGTTATATGGTCCCTGATGAAGCTAAACCAAAAGGCCTTGAGCCATTGCAACGCTGGGACTGAGCCAGACCCATCTCAGCCAGATCCTGCTACTGGGTTTCCTGTACGTGAACAACTCCTTCCCTTGGACAGCCCCCAGCTCCAGCGGGGCCCTGGCTCGCAGCCGCCCCGAGCTGCCTCCCTCCCTCCCTCCCTCCTCCCTCGGCAGCCTGCTGCAGCCAGGAGCTGGATGCTGCAACAGGACACCGTGTCATTGGAGAAGAGCATAATCCCTTCGCCGCTTCTCTGCTGAATCCTGAGTAAAGCATCTTCCTCCCTCTGGCGTGGGCTGGGGCTGTGCTCTGCAGGTCCCTTTCCCCAGCACATTCTTCCCCTTTCAGCTGTGACAAGCTCCCACTTGACTCCCAGCTGACAACACTCCCACTGGTGTGAGGCAGCGCCTTCTGGCAGGTTTCCTTTCAGCGGAGGCCCTGCACACGCTGCCACCCAGCCCTTGTTAAAGGCTCCCAGTAAAACCATTTAAGTTGCAGTTTCAGCTTCCACTAAGATTTCGAAGGCACAGTCGTTGCGGAAGGCACCAGGACACCCAGAGCTCTTCCCGGACCCCTCCGACCAGCGCTGGACCCTGCACAACTCAAATAGAGGAAGCAACACTCCTGCAAACCAGCCACTTCCACGGGTTCCCCGTCACCAGTAACGCAATCCCCACAGCTCTGAGTTCCTCTTTTTTTTCCAGATATAGCAGCTATAGGATTGTACAGGGGACCCTTTTCCCCTACCCCTCCATATCCTGGTCTGTAACCAGCCACGTAATCTCTGTGCCAGGGGTTTGTTTCTCCCTCACGTCTGGCTGAAGCTGTCCCTTACCCGAGCTGCCGTTCTTACCACGCAGAGAGGAATGCTGGAGAGAGGTACCCATCACTACTGCGCTGTAGGATATTCAGACAAGTCCTGCAAGCCTTTGATTAGCAGCAGCAATCTAAGGTGTTAAGATCTTTGTGTCAGGCTGCAGCAGCAAGTACAACTGACTCAGCTCCTCTGAGTTGGAAATGACTCAGAATATCTTTACAGAGGGTGATGTTTAACCTGTAGTCAAAATAAAACCAAATTTAAAGGAAACCCACGAGTACTGATGTGAAAGGTACAGTAACATTTAATAGCATCTCGGAAGACAACACTGGTTATAAACTTGCTTTTTGGCAGGAAAACAAAATGCACTTGGTCCAGGTTGCAAAAAAGCCAACTCAAAGAGGAAAGATAAGACAGCTGGAGCATCAGCTGTACTGGAGCAGCCCTGAGCCATTAACGCTCACGAGGGAGCCCTGGCACCGCATCGCGGCCGAGGGCAGCTGGAGCAGCCCAGGTCCCACTTCTAGGCCCATCCATCCCCCCAGGCAGCCCGCCGAGTGACACCAGCCTTCGCCCCAGCCTCCTCCTGCAGTGGGTGGTCAGACCCCAGCTCTGTGCAGTATTTTTGCATTAAATTAAAACAAACAAACAAACAAATTGACTTAGTTTCCATAATCTCTGGGGTTGAGATGAAAAAAAAAAGAAAAAAAAAAAAAAAGAGAAAAAGCAAGTGAGGCAGCAGGATTTACAATTTTAAGAGCAACTGGGAGAAGTGGGAAGTAACATGTAACCCTAAGATCTTCCCTCCTGAAGCAGCAGCTCTCCCTGCAGAGGAGAGGGCTGACGGGCCGCTGCACTTCGCACAGCCCCGGAGGCTTTGCTGTTTACAGAGGCACTGGAAGCTGCGGTGTGAGCCAGGCCCAGCTTTGTTCACAGGCCATGCGCAGCGAGCGTCAGACTTTCTTTGGATCCCTCTGAGATGATATCAGGGGTAGGCAGGAGGGAATCATAGGCAGCTGCAATGAGTAGTTTTGGTCATGGGTTTCCCTGCGCTGGGATACAGGTCGCGGTGCCAGGACAGCTCTGACAACCTGGAAGTGAAGGTGGTCGGAGATGAGGGTGCTCAGGAATGCAGATAAGAGTCCAGGACGGGAGGGGAGCCGGGGCTCAGGCCAGCTTCAGGAACTCCTGCAGGGTGTTTTGCTCCACCGCTTCCACAAAGAGCTCGTAATCCTGCAGGGAGAAGCCACACGGTCGCTCACAGGGCAAGAGGGAGCCGTACGCTCCTGCTAGAGTCCCCTGCGCACGCAGCACAAACTGGTTCACAAGTGACGTGACACGAGAGGGCGAAGCGGGGACAGCCCCGCAGAGCGTGGCCCCCTGCCCAGGGCTCACCCCGAGCCCCCCTGCCTGGATCCCACTTCTCACAAGCCATTGTGCTCCAAACGCCCATAAACCCCAGCAGCGCTTCTGTCTACGCGTCTCACGAGAAATGCCTTTGGAAAGAGCATCTGGAGACTATTGGGAGCAAAAAACAAGAGGGACGGGCTCGTCGCCCACCACCCAACCTCCACGGTGCTTATCCCCCGCGCGGCGCACGAGCCTCACCCCACAGTAGTGGTCTCCGTTGACGATCTGGGGCGGGATGGCTTTGGGGTTGCCTGCCTTCGCCCTCATCTCCTCCCGGAGAGCGTTGTCCTGGGAGATATCCACCAGCTCGTATTTGATGTTTTTCCCATCGAGGATTCTGGTTACTTCGCTCTGTTGGGATTTGATCTGGAACCCGGGTGGGAAAGGCAGGTTATGGGGAACTTGAGAGCAGCCCGAAGCATGCCAGCCACGCTCAGCGCAGCGCCCACGGAGCGACCGCTCCTTATGGCCCACGGGTCAGACCCCACCGGCCCACGGCCCTGCGTGGGGAGAGGGACGGACACGCAGCACGGCGGGAGGGATTCGGGGGAAAGAAGGGGACGGCACGCTTGGGATGGAGCGGGGGGGGGGGGGGGGGGTTTGCTTCGCAGCTTCACGGGGAACAGACGCCCAAGCCCAGGGGAGAGGGGCCCCGGGGCACCCCAGCCCTGCCCCGCCGCTCACCTCCCGGGAGCCGGTCACCGAGGTGCTGTAGACCTTGAGGGTGCTCATGCTGCGATCGCGGCCGCTCCCTGCGCTCAGCCCGGCGGAGGGAGGCTCGGAGGGAGGGAGCGGGCGGCCCCGCCGCTCCCGGCATGTGACTGCGGGGACCAATGGAGCCGGCGGGCCCGGGCATGCGGCATCGGCGGGGCCCGGCCCCGGGCTGCCACCGCCCCCCCCCCCCCGCCTTCCCCCCCCCCCCCCCCGCCCGCTTCGCACGAGTGGAGGCAGAGCTGCTTTATTGTAGACTCGAAATACTCAGTACAAACAAGTGGGTGAGACAAAGGCTGGGATAAATACACCGCGCCCAATGCGACGTGGGACACACACACATTACACAAGGGAAAGGGGTCCTGCTGCCCAGGTTTGGGGTGCTCTGTAAAGGCCCAGAGTTTCCCCTTGGCATGGGGAGCGGTGGTCATGTTGGGCAGATGGGATCACCCTCTTAGCCCCATGGGTCCAGTTTTGCAGGAGGATGATGAGAGGACTTTTCCCCCCACCTCCTAAAAGGACAGGGCCTGCGGCTCCAAGCATTTTTCAGCCATGATCTCCTTTCCCAGCCAGGGGCAGAAGGCAAACGTGGCCTCACACAGCACCTGGGAGCTAGGTCTTGCACCCCAAAGAGAACACGGGGAGAGGGGCTGGTGCTAAACAGCACCCTGCTAACCTGCAGGAGGGAGCAACTTTCACAGCTGGTGCTGCTCTGCACCCCAGTGCCTAGAGAGCTCCCAGCAGGCAGGGCAAACAGCATCGAGAAACAGCCTTGGCCCACATTTAGCTCAGTACAGGGCATCAGCAACCTGGGAACAGAAACGGGATGAGGAGAGAACAGGGCAGAGAGGTGAGGCTGCCACGCTCTCCCCGTGCCGTGGGGGGTAGCTCAGGACAGCAAACCAACCAGTTTGTTGCCACCATCACCCGTGGTGGCCAAACACTAAGAACAAAACAGATTTGGTCTTAAATTTTGAACACAAAGGAGTAACAAAAGCATTTTTCCCACAGCTAGGGCTTGAAGCCCCAACATGAACCAAGAGCAACCAAACGGCAGAAGTTTCAGCAGCGTTTCCCCTGTTAAATAACCAACTCAGAATCTTGCTCTTAAGCTGAAAACCAGAAAAGTTCCACCCTCAGCACCACAGCCTTGTCCCAAGCAAGCACTCAGTACTGTAAAGCTTGCCACTAAGGTTAAGCGAACCACATCCCGTGCTGATTTATTTAGAAATCCCATTATTGAGCAGAGACGCAGGGAGCTCCCAGAGAACGAGGGGCAGGGCGACACCAGAGCCCGAGCCCTCGCAGGCATCGGGAAGAGCTCTCTGATCCAGCTCTACCATCCTGCCGTGTCAGGAGCAGGATGGCTTTCTCCCTACCAAGCAGCAAGCAGAGACGAGTCTCCCCGCTGGCCTGCAGCAGGGTCCCCCAGGGGCACAGAGGCTTCTCTGCAGCTCTGGCAGGGGCTACAGACCTTCGAGGCTCCCCAGGAGCGTTTGCCACGGCTCGAAAGGCTGCCGTGAGAAACACCAGTTCCTCACCCTGCCAGCAGACGCATTAGGCACGAAGCAGTGTGGAGACAGGAGCACATTAAGGCACTTCAGCATCAATCCACTTCCTCTGCAGTCTGAGTCACACCCATGCTCAGAGTGCTATTTCAGGGGGATAAAAGGCTTAAGGCTTCTGGGGTCACAATGACCAGCGGGAACATTGTCAGAGTCTTCTTTTAGTGTTGCTTGATTCCCCAACTCCTGTTGGCTACTGAAAGGCTCCTGTTGCATTTACCTGAGGAAAGCAGGTCCTGCTCCATGAACGACAACACAAACATCCAAGCCAGAACTGGGCACACAGCATCTGAGGAGCCTGCAGCACCTTGGTGTAATTAGCAGTAGGGTAACTGGCACACCTGCTTGCCTGTGAAGTCCACAGATCTCCCCTGAACACTCAGAATCCTCTGGTCTTACTAGTCACACAGGATCTGCACAGACAATTTATCAGAAAGACCAGGGCATACATCTCCTTTTAGTGATGATTTTAACTGTCACATTTGCATGTTCAGCATTTGACATGCCTGGAAGGCAATTCAGAATTCATCTCCCAGTGTCAGAGACCACACCAGCTCCAGCAAACACAGCATAAACACATTCCACGAGATCAAAGCTACTGCAAAGCCCGACACTGAAGCCCTGTACGATTCCAGTTAGCCAGTCAGGAGCTAAAGACTTCTGGCAACAAACCCCCTGATTTCTCATGGATTGGATAAGTCACACATCTTGTACCCAAGCAAAGGGATGGTAAAGTGCTGAATAGGTTTTGGGTTGTAGGAGCTCTAGACTCCTGAGGGTTTCAAGTCTTCATTTCTTGTCTTACTTTGGGGAGTGTTCTTTACTGGGTGATGCAGTTGTCTCCCATGTCCTGAGCGTATCTGTCAGATATTGCCGTCCTTAAGTCCTCCACCTCTTTGTGAAGCTGTTTTACCTCCACCAGTTTCTTCACAAGTCCATCAGGGCTCAGCAAGTCATCCTTCTCCTTAGCAGAGTACTGCACAGCTGCGGGGTCAGAAAAGGGAGTTACCTCACATGCAAGTCTGACTAAGGATCACACACATTTGCAAGCAAGCCAGAAAAACCAACACACATTTGCAGAAGAGTTACTACTTAACATTTAATTATTATAGCATGCACCTTCAGAGCTAGCTAACCACAGAAAGAAGGTTGAGAATCCCAGAAAGACGAGAACCTTCCATGCTGTAATATATGCGAGTTATTTAATTCTGCCACAGCACAGGAACCAAAGGGTTTGCTCTGCCACCACTCTGCATACTTACAGTGAATTCCCAGGAGCAGAGAGAGGTTGGGATCCTTGCCCTGAGCCCTCTGAGTGACGATGCTGTAGACAGACTGCAAATCCTGCAGACAACTGGCCAGCTCGCCGTGCAGTTCCTGGGCGAGGCGGGCTGTCTCAGCGGGCAGCGGCTGGGTTGTTAGCTCTGCCTGCCGGAGTCGTTCCTGAAGGGTCAGGTTCTTCTCGATGAGATCCTGGTTCTGCACGGAAAGCTGAACAGATGGACCACAGCAGGTTAATGGCAGCTCGGTACAGAACTAGCACACTTAAAGCAAGTTAATGCAACTGCTCAGTGATGATGGGAGCATCGAGGGCAGGAGGAGCTGGCTTACATCAAGCCCTCCAGACTCTCGCCAGATGAGCAAGTGTCAGTCCTACAGGGTGTGAGCATTCAGCTTTCCTGGCTCAGGCAGGAAGCGCTCCACGACACGGCACTGTCCCTGCCGAGGCACGATGCAATGAAATAAACTTCCAGGAGGTTGTGCACCAGCTCCTCACCCCAGCACTGGCCATCCCTTCCCTCAAGGGCTGCCATTGTGCTTGGCTTCCTCTAGGCTCTAGTGGGGCTCAAGTCTGGCCTCGGGCTCGCTGCCTTGCTGCCCCCAGCCGGCAATCTCAGCGTCCTCCACCACAGCCCGCACACCCAGCTGAAGTTCCTGAGGCCGAAACTGCCTTTCTCCTCCTGCTTTTGAACAGGGAGGAGCTCCTTTCAGAGCCCTGACAGGACAACTGACTAGCAGGAAGCAGGAGAGAGGCTGTGCTGCTGACTGCAAATTAAGGGCTTTGCTAAAAGACAATCCATTGTTCATTCAACTGCTACGCTCAGGCACTCTAAACACTCCCAGCTCTGACCTCTTTCACTGCAGTCCGGAGCTGCTGCAGTGCATTTTCTCTTCTCATCGCCTCCTCTTTCAGAGCTTGGCTTGTCCCCTCTTCCTGGCTCACCTTTTCTTCCAGGTTCTGGAACAGACCATGGGAAAGTTTGAGTCTAACACACTTCACAGCGGATTCTCAATTCTAGGTCTCTCTCCAGTCACCTCTCACCTTTATTTGCAGGGACAACTGCTCCATCTTCTTCTGCTGTTTGTCCACAATCTGAAATCAAAAGCAGAGGCATCAGAACTTGCCATGCAGACTCAGTAATACCACCAGGATGTCTCCTTCAGTAGGACAGCATTCCCTCTCCTCTTTCCTGTCCACTAACTGCATTAGTCACTGCCTCTGTTAGTAGTGGACTTAAATTCCCTGATAAAAGGCACCTGGTAAAAGGCACCATTAGAATTTTCAGCTAAAAACAGACTGGGGAAGTTGCATTCTTGTGGTTTTCCTCTCCCCTCTTCTGCATTCTGCAACTTCTCTCCGGTGTTACTGTAGGAGTGCATGGTTATCACACCAAGAACAGCTTTTAAAATCCCTCAAGTCTGGAATTCCAGCAACTGCTGCTTCAGTGCAATTGTGACTGCAAAAGTCCCTCGTTTCATTTCGGTGCCTGGTGTGACTCAGTGGAAAGGAAAACGTGATTCGACAGCCTGTTACCTTCCTGAAGCAGTCGCATTCTTTCTTCAGAGAGTCATTTTCTATTTTCTGTCTCTCCCCATCCTGAGCAGGGGGTCCTCTCTCTGCATTCTTTACACACTGCTGCACCTTCTCCTGCAGGCTGAAATTAGCAGAACGCCATGGGAAAAAAACAGCTTTATTTAGAGTGTTTCCCTCACTAAACAATAGGAAGAGTCAAATGATTTTCCTATCAGATGGCGATGCTGCCCTGTTTGCATTCCCAGCTTGCAAACTGCCAGGGCTGTGAAGGAAGGAGTCCCTCTCCCATGATATCAGTATGTTTGCAGAGATGCAACAATTACAGATTATGTAGGTCCACTTTGCAAGGAGTTAAGGTTGAGAGCAGTAACCTGGGGACACAGACAAACCCAGGTGACAAAACAGGGGCCCCCCAGCTTGCTTTCAGCCATGTGGTTCTGCTCCCATCCTCCACTGCTGGCACGCAGAATCTGAACGCGGTGTTTTGGGGAGTACTCACATCATCATCACAAACCCATGGTAACCTGGTTCTGACAGGTGGGACAGTGGCTGTGCTGAATCATCACTGTTCTTGTGCAGCGATTACTTCAGCACTAAAATGAAGCTTATTCTAATCCTCCTGATTTTTACCTGCGCACGGTGGAAAGCAGCTCCAGCTCCTTGTGTTTTTGGGTTTCTAGCTGCATCTCTTGCTCCCTGAAAGCAGCTCGGACACCTCCAAGCTCTGTTTCCAGTGCCAGCACTGTTTCCTGCATAGCAGTACTCTTCAGTTCAGATTCCTTCAGCTGCAACAAAGACCATCATAACACTCTAGAGACGTCCCAGGGGTTTCACCACACACACCACATTTCAACTACATTCACAACACCAGTTTTTACTATCTACTTGGCAATTCTCAGCTATAGCTCAGAACATTCCTCCTCCAAAAAGGCCAGACCACAACTTTACTTAAGCAGCTGCATAGGGGATTATCTGCAGCTGTAGAAAAGCCACCTGAGCAAGTATCTGAAGAGCTATCTTCATAACTCAGAAAAAGTTTTACCTTCTGACTCTGTTTCTGATGGTCCTCGAGAGTTGGTAAGTCAGCCAGGTATCGTTCCAGGGTCTCAATTCTCTGTTGTCTCTCCTTGTTTTGTTCAGATTCCTTCTGGCATTTCTTTTTAAGATTGTTAATGTGTTTGTCTCTTCCCTTTACCTGAGGTTATATACAAGTTTAATTAATATAATTTCTTGTCCATTCTTCAGTCCTCTGTAAGCCCACTCATTTACCTTTTTGTACAGCACTCAACATCAAAATACAAGATCACCTTAACTCAGCAGCATTTCTGCTCACTTAAAGACAGGCTGCTTTGACTAAAAGAAGTACCAAAATACTTCTAAACTGCAGGGGGAAAGGCTTTTTCTTATAAGCCAAACAATTCTACAAGATCGGAAAATACCTACAGTAACTCAATGCCACAGAAAACTTTAATCTAGGCACTACACTGACTTCTGGCTTCCCAAAATAAAAACATCTTCCCACCTCTAGAGCAATGAGATCATACCCTTTCTTCCTGTTTCTTTAACTCCTCTGCATGTTTCTGCATAGTTTCCTTCAGTGACTCCCGTATCAGCTTTGCATCCACCTCTGTAGCAGCCAGTTTTCTCTCCAGTTCAATCTTTTCCTTGCTGAGGGATTCAGTCTTCTCTGTGAACTGTGCTCGAAGAAATGTGTTCTCCCGCTGCAACTCCTGCAAGCAGAGACAGCCTGTGAATTCGGTTAGTCACAAACTGGCAATAAAAGCAGCTGCACTGTCTCAGAGCTCTGTCCTCCGCCCTCCTAATTCTCAAACATCATTCAGCCCATTTTATATACTGCAGTATCTGAAATAGCCCTTGTCAGTGCTGTCAGGCATTTGCATCACTAGCACAGCTTCTAAAACTGTAGTGCTTCAGGGCTTGAAATCTCAAGAGTCACAGAAGATCTCGGAGGTGACAGGTAATCAGGACCCCATACAAAGGATAATTTTACTCTGCATAACCCTCCTACTCAGGAAACATCTAATGAGAAGCAGTAGGGCCACTGGATTCAATACATATTTCATACTGACACCCTGTTGTACTCAACTACCTGCATTCTCAACATGTAGACATCTCCATAGGGTGCTGAACAGCCAAGCAGGGCACTGTGAACCTGCAGTTCACTTTCCCGGACCTTCTGCTCCAACTGGGATATATGTTGTCTTTGTCTGTAAAAAAACAACAAACGCCAAAAACCAGGTAATATGTAGTTGACAAAGACACAATGACGTGCAATACAACATGAACAGTGCCACCAGAACTCTAATGCCCCATACAGTGACAAGCAGAACAGAAAGACAACTCTGCAACTCAGAACTGACCTGCAGAGAAATAACCTGAAAGATGTCCATGGCAACTTTTTTTACAATTGGCATTAACTTTTCTTCCCTCCCCTGCCTTCAAAGCCTCCCTCCAGCAATAATTATAGAGAAAACACAAGCCTTGCATGCTTTGGAGGATCCAGCTTGTCTGCAG